TATATAAATATAAATATATAAATATATAAATATAAATATATAAATAAATAAATATATATATAAATAAATATATAAATATATATATAAATAAATATATAAATATATATATAAATAAATATATAAATATATATAAATAAATATATATAAATAAATAAATAAATATATATAAATAAAATATATAAATAAATATAAATATAAATAAATATAAATATAAATATAAATAACATTGATATTAATTCAAATTCACATCCAAAAGTCAATCGAACAGATTGTCTATATCCTATAAGCCTACAATAATTCCTGAAACTACATAACTCAATATATGAATGAATATATGATGAATATTTATTATATTGATCTCACATCATTTGATACGATTATGAATGACAAGAAGATAGTCTCAAAACAAAGAAACGAGTAATTATTGCGAGGCATCTGATCAGGTATTAATGATCATTAAATAATTTACGAACCTGCTGCATAAAAATATTCGTATATTTTACGAATATTTTAATAACAATAACAACAATTCATATTTCACACCTTATGAGAGATTACGCAAAACCCAACGAAAACGAAACTTAATGAAAATAGTTTATACTGTTCACTTTATACAGTTTAAATAGTGAAAAAAACACGAAGTGTGTAAATATTAGTGCATGCTCGCATAAGCTGCTAAAGCTAATTAGCTTCAGAGAAACTACAAAAAGTGATTTTGACAGCGTGTAATGTTACAAACGGTAACATTTAGATAATAAGGGGTAACAAACAGGGCAACAGGTTTTAGTGCGGTGATTTAGTGTTACATTTTAGATAATTGAGTCACAATGTGACGCTAGGGCGGATAAGGAAGTTTTAGATGCATTTAAATATCCATGATTTGTTGCCTGTGTTTGTGTGTCTAAACATTACAATCATGACATTTATTTGGGATTATGAAGACCAGGATCAGTCTGACCTGTTCTGCCACGGCCCTGAACAGACATGACCCGTCCTTGGCGACCTTTTTGCGGTAAAAGCCCAGCGAGCGCAGGTACTCGTCCATGCGGCTCTCATGCGTCCTGTCACCGGCCAGCTGCTGCTGCGCGTCCGCCGATGCCGCCCGGAGCTCCATGATCATCCGCTCCCAACGATACAAGCCCGATATAAACCACACTATATCTGCAGACAGGGTTTGCTTACCATCCCTGCACTCCGGTCTCTCATGAAGGACCCTGAGGGACTGGATTTACTCGCTTTTTATTTAGCACAAAGGAAAGTTGGACAGCAACATGCGCGTCCAATGCTGCAATATTTTACTCCAAGCGATCACCGGAGAGAGAAGCAGGTAAATGTGTAGATTTATGAAGGCATTAGGACACGGTTGAGAAAATAAAAGGAGCTGAGTGAACGCTGGGAGATGTAGGCGGAAAAGAAAGTGAAACTACACACCCCATGCTGCATCTATATAAGCACTGGAGTATGGAGACCCAAACCTGCAAAAAACAATAAATAAATAAATACGCAAATAAATAAATGTGTGCATAGATACGTGTATTCTTGTTTAAATACATAAATAAATAATTATACATGTGATGAAAGTAGGGAAATAAATTATATAAATTGGTGGGCAAATGGAAAATGTTTAAGGAAATGCTAAACTCTTTTTCTGAATGTAGTTCCACTTTTTTTTCCCCTCTGCGCAACGTGCTAATGAGAGGGTGTCAATTATGCAAGAGTAGGCGGATCGTGTGTGACGCGCTTGAGCGCTATGATCTTTTAATCATAAAAGATTTTAAGTGGCCAATGTAAAATATTAATGCTTACATAACTCTTAATTGCAATACTGAACTGTTATTTGCTTAATAAACATACCGTATTGGCCCGAATATAAGACGACCCCGCTTTTTCCAGATGTACCTTTTGGAAAAAGGCTTTTTTTAAAACAAATCTTGTTTTTTCTCAGTAAAACACATTTTGTCTTCAATTATTTTCATATTGCATATTTTTCCTATTTTAATTTTTGTTTTGAAAGTATGGTAAAAACTGGTCAAATGTACCAACAATCACATTTAAAAAATATACACTTTTTGATATACCATTAAAAAAA